TTACATAAAGGAAAAAATATAGATATTTAACATGTACTCATAGAGATACAAACTTTCCTGAAGTTACGACAACAACTCAAAAAGCATTTATAAACACCGCTCCCAGCAGAGCCACCCACCCAGACGGTAAAAACAATATTCCGCCCACTGAGTGAAAAAACGTCCAAGTTCCTTATGCTACAAATGCCTTTTCTTGAGGCTATCCCAGACATAGGAGGAGCGGAGCATAGATCATGGGGTCTTTATTATTCCTGTCTGAGTCTGGGGAACCGTCAGCAAAACACAATTAAACAGACCTGCAAGTATGATAAATATATAAAAAAGTAGAAGGCTGTGCCAGGTTAGTATTACAATTCATGGCATAAAAAATAAAAAAACATCAATCTGATAAACAACATATTGAATTGAATATAATTCAGTTTTTTTACGTTTTGTCGATTGTGCAAAATGTCTCTGTCAATTTGTTTTGCTTACATAAGCATTATATAACATACTCTAACATTATATAATCTTTGTGTGAGTTCAAACATCAATACCAGATCTATAATTGATTATTTTCTCGTCCTATAGACATGAAAGACTGTGATGAAAGTAGACTAAACTTAGGGAAAAACAGCATTTGCAATGGATAAAAGCCATTTTCAGTGAATATATTATTCAAGATGTCTTATACTGAATATTTTCCTTCATGTTTAATTTGCGACATCTGTCATCTTTGGGATAATCTCCATCCCTTTTGATGGTCCTTGAAGTGAGAAATGTCGTTTAAAGAGAATATAGTCCCAAATAGGCAATGTTTTTAAGTTATAACTCTCTCAGATCAAATAGCAAAATTAATATATTCAACTTTTTTTGCATTGCCAGTATCACATGCATATATAACTGTGTGTGTGTGTGTGTGTGTGTGTGTGTGTGTGTGTGTGTGTGTGTGTGTGTGTGTGTGTGTGTTTGTGTGTGTGTGTGTGTGTGTGTGTGTGTGTGTGTGTGTGTGTGTGAGAGAGAGAGAGAGAGAGAGAGAGATATCAAGAAAGAAAGAGAGTATAGCTTATTCTGATTCATCGCACTATTGTCTAGTTTCCAAATACTCTTGTTCATTTAATATTCATGAACTTATTTAGTGCTACTTTTTCTAAGAAAATCTGTGATCAGTGTCAAGAGAAAAGCCCAGACTAAAACATTAAACACAGATGGACATAACATTATTGTTTACATAACATAACATCCTATAAATACCAATGAATTTAGTTTTCTCACCAATTAAAGAAAATGTATGGCAAGGTTTATCAAGGCATATTCTCCTCAGCTTAAGCTTTCCTCATATCCCACTGTAATATACACTGACAATGCAGTCAAATAACCTGCGCATAACGTTCCCTCATGCATTATTCATGATAAGAATATAAGAACAACGAGTAAACCTCATACCATCAAGTTTCATTTTCTTTAAACTCATCTAGTTATTAGTTATTTATGAGCTAGGTAGGTCCAGGAGAGCCATCTATAATTATGAGACAAGCAATATTTGTAATAAGACAATGGTCTCAGGGCAAGAAAACCACTCTTGACTCTACTACACAGTGGGTGGAATATGGAGAAGTACAATATGTTCCAGGAAGGAGTCTTTTTGGCAGTGGCTGGCACTCTCACCCACATGTACTCGACTGAAACAAAGGCAGCAGAGCAACAAAATGTTATATAATGCAGAAAATTGAATGAGCATGTTGGTTGTGAGAGTATATCAATGTGCTTGTAAGATGAAATGCATAGATGTGAATGAAGGAAGTAATTTGACTGAGAATCCAGCAGATGTTAAACTATATTTCCTTCTGGGCTCACATCACAACAGGGACATAAAACCCACAAATCACAGAAAAGCAAGGACATAGATTAATAATAAAAGTCACAGTCATAAAGAAATGAGCCAAGATGCTCATGATAACTCTTATCGCTCAGCACAATTTGTCTCAAAACTATTCTTTCTCACATTTATGGGTTTGCATATGTGGTTTTTATAGGTGCAACCATCAACTGAAATAAGACACTCTGTTTCAATATATCAAACCAATATCATATAAACTTCACATTTAGCTGGCATACAAGTTTGAAAGCACATCAGGTCATTTGACAATTAAAAAGATGACTTATTTGTTCAACAAAGTTATCATGAACTATAATTGTTCACATTAATAAGCCTTACTTAGTGCACAATACAGCACTTCACATCATCACAATGACCGAAGATGAAGACAGAATAGAAAAGGTCAGTATTAGCTTGCTCCTCTGATTTACTTTTAAATAAGCCATGATTGCACTGTGTTACCTCTTCAACTCCCAATGTATATTTGTCCTGTTGATCTGATTACTTCTTTTGGAGGGTATGATAATTAAAGAGACTGAAAACAGCTTCAGTTTAGGCAATACACCTTCTTGGTTAAGGTTAAGGAAGGTTAGACTGAGGCACTTCCTTGCTCAATCCTAAATGTCTTCCATCCTCTAATCATTGTCGAGGCATGCCATATCTCTCTTCTCCCATTTGTATACCTCTACCAACTCTTTATATTTTGGAACAGCTTCCAGTTTACATCTAACATCAGGGCCTAATGCGTCTGGCTGGGAGGGGCTCTGAGAAAAATGACCTCACAAATAACTCTTATAGAGAGAAGACAAGGTCCCAGTCATCTCTCTCCGTCTGCATATGTCTCTCTGCCTGCCAGTGTATGTCTCTCAGTCCTTGTATCTGTCTCTCTCCCCCTCCCCCCTCCCCACATTCTTGCCATGGAGATAGAGCAGCGATCATTAATCTTATACACCAATCTTTACCGTCTCCTGACACTTCATCTCAGAAACCTCACTCCACTTGATGTCTGACTAAATTAGATTAAAATACTGCTTTGTCAACCCTTCGAAAGGGGACAAAAAAACTCTGGAAAACTAATTTGGGTTCCACTCACACACTGAAATGGAGGCAGACACTCCCATATTGAATATCTTGATAGCTAAAGCAATTTTCCACACCTATTGTATATCAGATCTCTTTGTGCAGGTGAATGATTGATAATAAGGATTTGTTGAATCACCAATTTCCACATGTTTTGACCCCTTCAGTGTGTTTTCAGAAAGTTTATTTCAAACCAGTAGCCAAATCAGCTCTGTTGTTTTTTTGGGGGGTCAGTACAATGGGACATACTGTAACCTAGGTTCAGGCTGTCAGTGAATATGGTCAGTGAACATTAATTATGCTGACATAGGTGCATTCAAAATTCACAAACTGTTATATCTGTAAAATAGTAAAATAAGAGGTGTAATGAGTGGTGTTGTGATATTATTCAAAAAAGGAAAATAACATACTCAGAGTACAATATCGTTTTAAAGCATTTAAGCTTTAATTTGTAATTGTTGTATCATCACATTTAGCCAACTCAGCTACTAAGGTAAATATTAAAGAGGTTTAGAATCTGTAATTTGTTAAAGTCAAGATTATACAGCCAGACACAATGGTTCAACTTTGACCTTCCAAAACAACTGTAATGTACAATTAAATATTGAAAATAAATGCACAGGTGATGAATGCATTAAGGGATTTTAACAGTTTGTGTGCTCATTGGAACTAGATATTGTGTTTATATGTTCATATTCATGGGCCTATCCAAATGCTTGTGTTCATTGATTTCTATGACTCTGTTATGTTGCAGTTTCGCTTGAGCTAACAAAGGGATATCGATATTGATGTGCTACTGCAGGATGTGTACGTCCTGTAGGCAGTTGACCTAGCCTTGAATACAAGAAAAACATTATTGATTGGTTTAAGTCTTTCTCAAGTGGTCAGAAATAGCTTAAAGCAGGTTTAACTGTTTCTCAACGGGTTCCAAGGAGATTGAAACCTTGAAACACGTTGTCGTCCAGAGTTTATTTCAATGTGTTTCCATGCTAAACTTACAAAGCTAAGAATACACCAAAACCCACACACAGCCAGAGTAACATGCTTATACGAAAATACTGACACCAACACACTTACAGACACACACAAACACCCATCTTTCACCCCTGTCACGCCTCCAAGCAAATTAGATCGTGATTGCTCTTTCTGAGGTCACTTTTAATTAAACTGAGATGAGAACATGACACATGGGATTAAGCCCCATCCTATCACTTCAAATTATGAATTCATAACTAATGCTAGAGCCTTTTGCTTTCAACCATGACCTCCATATCATTTATGTATAAGAGCAAAAGGAACTCCCCTAATTGTCTTCTTCTTCAGAGATAAAGAGCATGGCATGAGGGGGTGCAGAAGTGTGTATATATATATATATATATATATACGCCTTTTTTTTTCTCGCAAGCTGTGCTGTATATCATTAATACTGAGTTCACTACAGAGAGAGATGTTAAATAAAGAGACTAGAGGAGCAGAGAGAAATTATCTTCCGATCTCTAATGTACATTTTTATCAGCGCACACCATGTTCAGGGGCAAAATGAATCATATGTCTGATCTGGTTAATTGGTAGAAACACAAAGAGCGTACTAAAGTCAGAAAAATGTCATGTTCAGCTGTCATTAGCTCATTAACCTGATAGAACACTCCACATATAGATTGATACAGTGGCATTTGAAAAAAAAGGTACCATTTGAGACATTGCCCATAGCTAGTAGGGGTGGATGGAGGTCTGGCGTTGGAAAACCAGGGTTTGGTGGCTGTTTGTTTTAGGCTATCTATAGCAATCTCCATTAAGCAAGTGGAGAACTCCTAAACCCCACAGATCACACCTCGTTAGCTTTCCAAAAGCCCAGGGAAAAGCCTCGATGGATATACAGTATTTACTTGTTTTGGCAGATAAGCTGCAGTGGAGATGTATGAAATGGAATGAAGGCATTAAGATCATTAGGAGATGCTAACCTCTCAATGTATATGTATATGAGAGTGTTTTTAAGTTGACTTACAGCTGTTATCACTTCACTCTCAATTGAAAACCTGGTAACAATAAACACTGTCCTTACCTCAGTGATGAAAGCCTTAGCGGTGGCTGGGCTCATGAACAACACCGCTCTGCGCAGCGTGTCCCTGTAGCGATGCAGCTCCTCCACACGCATTGTTCTGAACAGACTAGTGATCATCATGTTGATATTAGATTCCACCTTCTGTAGGGACACGTCCATTCCCTGCTGAGAGCTCCGGTCAAGGAAATCCTCAATACCACGGATATCTGGAGGAAGAGAGACGAAGACAAATGTTGACCTCTATTTTTTAGTGTACGGGGACAATTATTTTATCTGAAAATGTGATGCATAAAAAACAGGGCAGATAGAGAGATAGACATACGTCTGCATTGGGCATCTGCCAGTGCTGAATACTTTATTTCTAGAAACCTAAAACAGTATGGGGACCAGCCCTCTGTAACTCACACACCAACAGAGATATGAAAACAGAAGCATGTGGTGGTGTCTCATCCAAAGTGAGAGGCCTGTTGGTTGCCTGTGTGATCTATTGGTGCATATATTTGAGCTAGTGATACTGATAGAAACAACAATCAACGCTAAAGTTAAAGTGAGATATATGGTTCCTGTAGAAATAGAGAAGAAACTACATTTTAACAAAGTTTATTGAGAGAACGAATGTGAGGGAGTATGTGTGTATGGGAGCATGTATAGTCTCTAACTAAAACAGGAACAAAACAACCTTATATAAATCAAACTTCAGTCAGACTATTCTTATTTGTGCTGAAAACATATTTCTAACACTATACAAGTTTATTCCTACCCTGATACAAACCAATGACACTCATGACATTTAAGAGTTTTAGATTAAAGTACAAAACCACTTAAATTATCTCTATTAATGGCTATGTTTGTATAATAACAAAACCAAGATGGTGGTGTCAGAAATACTACTCTTAGACACTCTATTGTTAATGAGGTACAATGCAGGTCAAGGTAATAACTAATTAAGGCACTTTGGTTGAGAACACCACTAATGATGTCGGAGGATGTGTGTGTGTGCGCTTCTGCGAGTCAGTGTGGTTATGTAAAGCAACTACCTAATGATGTATTTGATATGGAAAACGGATGACACTGCCATCATTGCCGGTGTCATGACTGAGCAATTAACTGGATTGATTAGACGTGTTAAGGCCAGAGGGCTGATTGCATCAATGCCAGATTTTGGAGGTTTAACAACACATTAAGAGGAGAGACATATGTAAGCCCATTTTCATAATATCAAAAAGGCTCTGAGCTCAAAAGGTAAAGCAAGGACATTTGCGAGACAGTATGAAAGGTTTGTGCGTGTTGGATATCACACCAACCACACCATTCCCCACACTGACAAGAACAAGAAGGAATGTTGTCTTCCAGCAACGAAAACACAAGGAAGAACAGCAGGGTAATAGTACCTTGTTTATTTCGCAACGTCATGTCTTTCCCACTTTTCTTTACAGAAACACAAAAGACACATACAGACTCTGACCTCCAGGTGACAGCTAAGCACACAATCTGTTCATAAGAAAGTTGTCAAATGTATAGCAACAAAGAACAAAGAAGAGTTCAGCTACGATGTGTGAGATATTCAGTGAAATAATATTTTTTGACTATCAGGAAGAACAAAAAAGTCATTTCAGATTAAATGAGGACATATTCTGGTCCAATTGTAGTGATTCATTGTCAAAACAACCTATTTTTTCCGTCAACCGAGTACAGTTGAGTTCCTGTTGTTCAAATGGGCTCGAACATGTACTCCCCACAGCTGAGCGGCTCATTGGCCAACAAATGCTTTCCATCAAGGAGCTTCAGGACACAGTAGCGGATACAAAGTCGAGTACAATTGCCACCAACCATGCCCATCCAGGCAACTTGTTTGAGAAACATTCCTCTGTGAGACAGTACCGGTCCATTAACACCATGATCACCTGTCACCCCAAAGTGCTGTCACCATATTCACATACTGTGCATCCACACAGTCCCACGCCTCTTCATCCTCATCTAATAGGGTTGACTGTATTACAACTGCCATGCTATTCCAGAGTAGTGAATGCTGACTCAAAATGTTTTGTTTAACAACCTTTTAAAATCTATAAATGGCTATGTGACCCTGAGTCACAGGTTTTGTTCCCTGCCACTTCACATACTTTGTTATTTTATTCCCTTTAAATGCGCCCATACTGTGTGCCACCAGGTTTATTGATGATCATTTTTGCAAGCAATATTATATATTTTTTCTGCTACCTTTTTATAAGAAAAGACGTAAAACAGAGATCCAGCCTAGTCTGCTCGCCTTCCTAAAGCAAATTCCCCGTATTCTCTATAATTCCCCGTGTTCTCTATTTATCACTGTGGATTATTACTTTTCATTGTCATAGTATGGAAGTAGAACTGAAAGGGCATTTTGCAAAGAAAACTCTGTCAAGTGGAATGGTTTCCATAATACTATATAAAACAGATTTAGGTGTATGGTCTTCTGTGTGTCCCTTTCGACCATGTGTCAGGCTTCCCTTCTTCCCAGTCTATCCTGCAAGTCCCTGGCTCAAAGTGAAAGCTAGAGTTAATGTGGTGTAGCAGCCAACAGCACGCAGGGATTTCACCTGCATGTACCGACCAGCTCAGTGGCACTCTGTCTGTGTTCACAAACCCCCACTCCTTTTCCCCTGCTTGGTTTCTCCTCATCCTTCTCTCTTCCCTTGGCTTTTCATCTGAAACCTCCCTCCATTTCCCCTGTTTGTTTTGTGTTCTCAAGGGCTGAATCTCATTTTGAAAGGGTGTAATGTCCAAGCAGTTTTTCCACTCCAGATGGTGGGCTCTCTTTCATGTGTAATGCCCGTCAATTCCACACTGGAGACCTGTGTTCACATTTCACCAACAGTGGCTTCATTTAACTCGGAGTGATTTTATAACACATCACTTTAAGTAATTTCCAAGAATACATTTGAGTTGTTAACAAATTGTAAATCCAGATACATGATTTCTGTATGCACTAAATAAACATATAACCAACATGTTAGAATCAGCCAATTATGTTGATATAATCAGAGAACGTCAAGACAATTCACAAGATTGTAGGCAACTAGCTAACTTTTAATGGTATCATCTGAATAAATCAGTTGTTTGAATCTGCACTGAGAGCACCACTTAGAGCGAGGATGGCAAGGGAGGAGAAAACATTGATAAGCACTTTGCACTCTGCATGTAGGAAATGGACCAACAGTCCAAAAGGAGGTGTTAACACATCAACTATTATGGGTCCCCTGAGTACGAAGTAAGAGGAAAACATCAAACATCTGCAAATGAGATGCAGCCTCTTACTCCCTGGTTGTCTGTCAGATCATCCCAGCTCCCCCGTTCACCCTGTATCTCACTCCCGCTGCGTAACTTGCAAATCATCCCAACCTTCAAATAATAAAAATAAAATTACCAAACTTTGTTAACTTTTATGCCGCATCTGACTTTACAGTTACAGGCACTTTCTTGTTTCAACCTTCCTCTAACTGCCTGAGGCATTTTACGCCTGGCCCTGTAACTTTTGTTAGAAAGCTATTGGGGAACAGCCAAGCATAACTGGTAGTGACTTTAGAAAGGGGCACCGTCTATCCATCCATCCACTGTAACAGCTTTGAGCTGCTAGCTCTCAAGCACGGAGTGCAGCTTGATACCCCATTGTCCCTATCATAATGTCAGTTTCTTGCTGCCATGAAATCCATGCAGACGTAAATTAGTTTCACTCAAGTGGCAAGGCGACCTGAAGGGAAAGGAAAGTGTGACCTTGCTTGACTTTTTCATCCATTTAATGCCAGGATGATGTTGTACATGACAACTTGGGTCAAAGCCAAACTGATGGCAAAGTACAAATGTAATTTCAATATGGTAGTACATTAAAGGGTTTGAAAACAGTATTTTGTACACAACTATGAACGCAGTATTGTTGAAAACATTGGGTTGAAGCAATACACTTCAGCACAGGAATGCAATGTCAATACTTTTTTTCCATTGGTAGTGGCAGTCTTAATAACTTTCTTAATTCTTGGTCGCCGGTAGGTTTTACATATAGTGCTCATAGCATGTTGTAAAAAATATTACATTTGAATATTTTATAACACCCTGATCAATAAAAACAATATGTTTTTATATAATAAAAGCATCATATTCACAACTTAAGCTGAAGTTCAGCGAAGCATTATGTAAAGGAGGAAATAATATTAATAATTTGAGATGTATTTGTGTGCAACTGCGTTTCTTGCTATCTCCGCCCTGTTCTGCTGTTAGACTAACATTCTTATCTCTTTGCTTTGTCTTTCCCTTCAGTCTTTACCTCTGGCTATCCTTATCCCTGCCCCAGGCATTTTACTGTTGTATGGCTCAAAGGCATTTGCTCTTAAAATATGGATTGAACCTAATAAGAAATGCACTCTTGTACCTCATAAGCCTAGACCTGGAGAATTCAATCGTCAGCTGAAGTTGTGGTTGAAAATGTTCACATAGCTCAAGGTATCTGAACAAAAACTTGGGAAGTGACCTCCACATAGGAAATAAAATGCTTTAGGCCCTGAAACGATTCACAACTGCTCGTAAATAGTCCTATTCCTAGATCTAAGTGCTATATCTTCGTCTACTACTCTTTTGCTTTATTTTCCTCCTTCTCTTCATCTTTCACACCTTTTTCTCTCAAAGCCCCAGGCCTCGCATTCCAAGAGTCCAAACAGATAACTTAACCAACACTTGTAAAACCTTTTAGGTGTGCATCCCTTCCCCTAAGTGCTTTAACTTCTCTTCACTTCTCCTGCTACCTACTTTCCTCCCTTTTTCCTATTTTTATGATCAATTTTGATCTTGAGCGTCCTTAACCTATCGCGGCTTTGATTTGGACTCTAAAATGCATATACTACTAGATGGCTATACTGTAACTCAATTGAACTAAAGGAAATTATGTCATTTGTTGTATTTATATTGCATTGTTTTATATAGTTTGCCTTATTGGGGTTTAATGCTTTAACTTCTTTAACAGTTTGTAAATTGTGACCTTACACACATGTTTTACTCTGGTTAGAGTGCGATCAATGCTAACTACTTATTTTTAAACAGACACACAGGAGGAACATCAGGCATTGTAATTCTGCATTGCTTCCAGTGGACAAAAGACCAATGACAGAACTACAAAGCGGCCTAAACTGTGCTGCAGCAACTGGAACACAAAATACCAACATCCAATGGATACCCAGGGAAATATGCTACACTGTTTTTCACACAATACTGGATAACTTGATAGTATGGTGATAGTGACCAACAGAACGAAAGGGATGAGAAAGGAGCCTCTGAGTTAAAGCATGACCTGAGCATGATATTTAAAACATTCGGTAAAACTGATGGATGGCTTCTTTTCTTCATTCATTTAATTTAACAGTGACTGGCCTCTTACTCTGCTTTTACTACATATTCTTAAGGTATTCAAACACCCAAACAAGATCATTTTACTCATGTAAAAGGTTAAGCATCTTGCAGGGTTTTGCACTAAACATTTCTTTGAAGAAGTCTACCAAACTCAATATTATAATAATAGTTTGCCTCTCTCAACTTTGTCTCTGTTAAAAATACATTTCAACTCCTATGTGCCGCAAGGATCTAAACTATGACCATAGAGTCACGTTTGGAAATAGTTTCACACTATTTTCAGTTGTTTTTTCTGTTTATGTACTTTCCTGACTGCCTTTAACTTTGCCATGCCAAATCTGCTATGCCTTATGATCTCTGTCCCTATCTCCTCTGCTTTGCTCTTTCTGTTTTCCCTATATATTCCAATCTCTTTTATCTCTGTTTCTCTTTTACTCTCTGAACTTTTTTACTTTGGAGGAGACAAAGAAAGACATGACCTCCCTGTATAAAGCTTGTATACCTTTGGTGTTTGCCAGTGTACCAGTTTGCCTACATTTTTCTGACTATGCCTTTCTCATCAACTTTCTCATGTCTCCCTTTGCACAGCTTTTATGCATTTTCCACCTCCTCTTTCACCCCTGCAATCTATCTATGATATAAATCTTCACTCATAAGTCCTCGTTCACCTGTCACTGTCAATTTATTTGTGTTGTTACTTTCTTCTTGGCTCCTCTCTTCTGTTTTGCCTCCCTCACGTTTTGCCTCTCTCACTCAATTTTGTCTTATGCCATTTAGGTGGGGTTTAAATATGGTAACTTGTTGCTATAAGTTAAGGTACAAACAAACCTCAATTTAAATATGTTGATGGACATTGCATGCACACAACAGCACTTGTGTTCAGCTATAACCTTTTACTATTGTAGCTATGGCCAATCGTGTCATTCTCAAGCAAAGTGAAGCAGACCATCTTAATGTCAACCATGTGATTACCACTAAGTGATACTTCCCACGTGTTGCTGTGACCGTTAACACTGGTCAAAGTCACTCAAAGTTAACAGTAACTTGTCACAGATGTTTACTATAATATCATGTGTATCAATGTGAATTCAAGACATCTTGGGACAGACTGAAAATAAGTTAAAGAGAAAACAGAGTAGGAGTAACAAAAGGGATGAAAGAAGAAAAGAAGATAAGTGAGGGAGAGAAATAAACGATGAGAGAAGAAGGAGAGCGATGATAGAGAGAAAACATGTGTTCTCAGCGTCCGGAATGCACCAGTAGAGCTGAAAATAGGGATTGGGTGAGTTGCGCTGTAGCTTCATTTGAGAGGACACACTCGACTGTCTGTTCTCTAAAGAACTCTCCTTGTACAGAGGCGAGGTCTTTAGGGAACTATGCTATCATCTTAAGAGACCATCTCTGCCTCTCTCTCTCTCTACATTGCTTTCTCCCTCTCGCTCCTTTGCACTCTTTCTTTCTCCCTTCTCTCCTTTAACAGGGGTTGAGGCCATTAGGGAACAATGGTGATATCTTTAAAGGGCCTTCTGTGGCTGACAACACAGCACTGCTAAAACCCAGAGGATCCATGTGCTGAATCAGTCGTCACACAGCACAGAGGGGATAGAGGGATTAAAGGGGGGTACGGACATGTGTGTAAGTGTTTGCTTGCATGTGCCCTCTGTATAGGGTGTATAGTGTATATGTTGTGTGAATTAAACCCCATGTAGGGACACATTTTGGATTATAACCAGTTGATTGAAGTTTGTCTAGCAAGAGAAAAAATAAATGTTGTTCCTATTTTCAGTCCTGATTAGTGTTGGGTTGAGGTCAGAGTCAAATCTTTTTCCCAACAGGCCTGACATTAGTTGTAGTCAATTTGCATGCAACTTTGAATTTATTTTGGTGTACTTTAGGGTGCAAAGGAAAGTCACATCAATTGATTCAGATTTCAGTGCCGTAAAAAAGGCATCAACAATCAAAATCCTGCAGACTTACAGTCAAACTAGCAGAACTTGTATTTTAAGCAACTATCTTTTTGAACTCTCTGTCTATGATTTTCTTATTACATTTGTAACATAATTCACAATCCACTGTTGCCCCTGCAGGGCTTGGGTACTTTATATGTAATAGTTAAAGAAGCAGAAGGAGTAACAGCACCAAAGCTAAGCACTCTACTGTGTTTGACAGGTCCTTTAGCACATTTTTATATATTTATACGTAATGTCCTAATACAGTGCTGCCACTTACTTAATAAAGCTCACAAAACAATGCTATAGCCCAACATTTTTAAGTCATCATTTCATTTCAAAATCAAGCAGAAGAAAATAGCTATGGGTCTTTTAACACCAGGTAGTGTTATGCTCTGTAACCCAGGACTCAGGTTCTTCTTTAAAACACTGGTATGGAAGTATTAAGCATAATGAAGGCTTAACATATAATTCCTTATGATGGAACATAATGGCGCGTTTCCACTACAGCGCGGAGCCCCGTTTAAGAGGGCTGTGACGTCAGCGGCCCGTCTTTGGTTGCGTTTCCACTTGGCCTAGTACCGGCCGGCGGGTCCTAATTCACAGTTTTTCTGGCCTCATAAAATTGTGGGTCTAGGGCCAGAGACAACGAGGCTGAGTCGGGCTGAGTATGCTAAACTAGAGGGAGCATCGCTGGCAAGGGGGCTACAACTACAACAAGATGGACATATTTGACCGTGATTTAATTGTAATACATGCAATCCATTCATAAAATGCTTTAATGTTTTAGAAGATCTAGTTTGAGCCTGCAGAGCGCATCGCTAAACAATTCCACTGCAGAGATTCCATTGGAAATCAATGCACACAACGCATTAATTGTGTTAATTGACTACAATGAATGAGATGGAGGCCCGTTATGGCTATATGGATTAAATCAACACTGAATTGCCTAAGGCAGAACACTAATTCACTGCTCTATATGTGCTGAAACTTTTAGGTGAGTTCGACTTTTGTCCAACCGCTGATGAGTGATATCACAGCTGGTGTTTTCCAATAGCTAGCAAAATACCTGCTCCATCATCACTCTAAATACCAGCCCATTAGGAGCAGTGCTACAGCGGCATATACCCTGTATGACTCAGAGTTAAAATTATCTTTACACATAAAGGTGCCAGTACCATATGCTGCAGGAGTATGTGCTTTATGTAAGTTTGATTAGGTTTGGTACCTTACTTCCAGAGAGGCACAGCTGTGTAACAAGGCATGATGACGTTAACTTGATAAGCCAAGCATCATTAAGGGTTGGCGTCACAAAGGACACTACATTACAAAGACTAAATACAAAAACACACAGACACATTGAATACACGCTCAGAAAAAAATCAAAGCAATATTCCTGTAGAAGGAAGTTTAGACAGTGTAGAAACAGAGTGGCACTTTTAAAAAAGTGACACGGATGTTTTTGGTTTAATGTTAGGTGTAATGGACCGGAAAGAGAGATGGCGAACAGATATAGAGAAAGAGAAGCATGGTAAAATGAGATAGCATGCGCACAGGCAGGCGGACTGATGTGTCACTAATGCATAATATACATATACAAAGAGACTGAGAGAGAGAAAGAGAGAAAGAGAGAAAGAGAGCGACCTGTTTCTGATTCAAACATATATTCATTAGCCCGTACCATGGTGAGAAACCACTCTTATTGTTACTTTATATACTGTACAAGTCAAATTAAAACAACAACAGTTTAATAGAGCTACTAATGCCCTTCAAAGGCAAAATGCTTTTATTTCATATTTGGTCCAAATGAAATCATAACGTTCTGCTTTATTCTAAATATGATGCATATGAGCCGTACGTATTTTTCTGCTCATTTTCAGCTTTTTAAATTTGCAGTATCAACAACACTTCCTTAAAAACCCAAAGATTAGTATCTGCATCTTGGTGTGTGCTGTAGGACGACAGACCTAGTTGTCACTAGTTGTTCATTGTAAATAGATAGGGTTGTTTCCAAATATATTCATGATACAAGACAAAACAGCTAGTTAGCAAATAGATCGGCAACTGGCATCTCTTCTTTTATTCATGTCAATTGGTGGTTTATAAGCTACCTTTGAATTTCAAATTTAGAAATATCTAAATTATGTATAATATGGTTTCCAATTTTCGAATAGCAATATTATTTCCACTTAAATTATACATTTGATTGATTTGTAGACATATAGACATACAGGCAGGCACAGAAGAAGGAAGGGTATTATATTAAATACTAGTATTAGTGATTGCTTAGATGGTTATTTCCTTACCGAAATCAGAATCATAGAAGATGATGAACTTCTGCCAGCTATACTCAGACACCACTTGCATGATGACGTCATTGAGATAGATGGGAGGGCGGACCATGAGGGTGTAGTCATCTGTTCCAGGGACGCGGCTGGTTGGTGGGCAGTCGGAGCGAGGGGATCCCGCAGGGGAGCGCTGGATAAAGAGGTGGGGGATGTGCATGGCATTGGACAGAGTCTGAATGCTGCCCGCAGACATGCAGCCGATTGAAGTGACCAGAGCCAGGATCCCACGGTTCATCAGCTCACAGGCTGGATGGAGGGGAAGAGGGAGAAAAACAAAGGAAGATAACTTGTTATTTTTCAAAGCATACAAAGAGAACTATGTTTTGGTGGAGAATAAGCAGTGGTAAAAAGGGAATGTGTTGACACTGAGCGATACCAAGGCAAAATGTCAATCAAAGTTATTATTCATGGTGAGAGTGCACCAAGGCAAATTATTTTCATTCTTCAGGTCATGAAACTGCTGTGACAACCAAAGACAAGAGTCAACATACATATATAATATATATATATATATATTTGCACATGCGTTGCATAGTTATTTTGAGGATTAAAGGTGTTACTTTCTCAGTGCTCATCATCTCTCAAACATTATCTGTGCTTTATTTTTATTTCCCTTCCACTTGCATCCTTCCTAGACCTGTAGTGCTGTCAAAAACCTTTAACGTCTACTCTCTCAAGCCTCTCCCCTGTTATCTCCCCTCTTGTCCAAAACAGCCCCTCTAGAGTGCTTACCTTTCAGCCCCAATCATTTCAAAGCTGCCGTCTTGCAGTGATTTTGATTTGAGTTGCCTTAGAGCTCCTCTGAATGTTGTGTGCACTGTGCTCAATGCGCAGTCATTTGCCTTCTTCTTCCACCTATTTTCTAACATCTTTCTACAGCACCTTTTTCTATTCCACCCACAAATCTTTTTCATCTTTACACAGTGGCCGTATCTCCCTCAACTATTGTAATACTTCATGGCAACACAAACAGTATATCTTTCCTCCTACCTTCCCTTAATCCAACCATCTTTTGATTAATCATCTCTTTAGTGCTTTTTTAATCTTTTATCCATACTTCTTTGCTTTCTTCAATCTGTTCTTCCATTACTTATATCAAGAAGGTCACTTACACTTTGCACTCTTGCCCCATTTCTTCATCCCTCATCCATCTTATTTCCTCACTATCGTTTGCCCGCATTTTGCTCAACACTATGTCCTTCACTTTGTGCTAAACACCACACTTTGTTGGGTATTTCACTTCTAGTTGACTAAAACCCTGTCACAGAAACACTTGGTTAAACAAAAAAGTAGTACAAAAAGAGTTTAAAGACATCACATTGCACAAAACTACACAGACACACACAGACAGATGGTGCTTTGGCTATGTGCAGTGGCGAAAAGCGCAATCTAAAGCACACAGTCAGCCTGTATAATGCCACATGCACTAATCTGTCGTCACTGCAAAAATAAAGACAGAAAAAAAAGGAAAGAGAGTTTCAAAGAAAGAAAAGCTTGAGGAGACAGATTCATAGTGCTGACAAAAGCAGAATAGAACATGGTATCTGTGCATGTGTGTGACAAAGAGAACATAAGTGTTATACAACACTTTCCCAAGTGTCAACTGGAAATTCAAAGTGTTTTTGAGGATTCATTCTTAAATCGCGACAAGTCCAGGCATTTGTGCTTGTCTGCATATTAGTGATGCGCAACATGGTGTCTATTTAATTGCTTTTGCCATTTATTCACATCATTTAAACATTACTGATTTTGACATATTGCGTTTAAGATGTACAAGTCACTCTTCAAACAAATGTATTCACCTGTTCAGTTAACTCTGTCTTGAACATTCTGCATTTGTAAACAGTAAAGTTTAATACACAAGACAAAAAATACTTTCTGTTTTACTCCGAAGAGCCACAGTGTATAGGGTAAAGTGGTTAGAGATGTCACTAAAGTCTTTAGCAGTTTGGTGATATATTTCAAATTTGGAGTCAATAGCTATAAATATTTAAACATGAAACCCATTCTGTAATTAATTGGCAATACATTGTTAGAAATTATTTTCCTCTGTAGCAAAAGCTGAAGGGTTATTTCAGGCAACCATTTCCTCATGCATTGATGTAGATGATTAATGAGTCGAAGCTAAAGCTGTTTCAATCTCACTGCTTATTGTGCAAGTCTACATTTTGAGGAATTAAAGTGTAACACTATATGATTAAACTTCACTAAGTGTCAGCATACTGCTTAGTCATGGCCATTATTCTTCAAATCAATGAGCCCATGATTCAACTTCTATCGAAAATCACCTTCATTTTTTAACATACTGTATGCCTGTTTGTGGGTGTGGGAATGTCCACCTGTGGATTTATTTATGCACTCACTAAATGTGTGTGCATTGTGTGCCTGAGTATGTGAGTCTGCATTTCTCTGAATATTTGAGCTTAAAACCAGTCGTGTTTCATAAGCTTCTTTATCCGGATTCCACTTCTCTATTATAGCAGTCATGCTAACTAATGCTTTAGCCGCCCTTGCTGGAGTCTAGCTGTAGCACATTAGCTTAGCATCATCAAGGCTTCAGCTAATGGAAGGCGTGGCTAATCCTCTACTTATTAGGGTGCTTTGGAGAATTAGTGCCCTCATCCCCTCTACATCACACACTCTTAAGTCTGCAGGGGGCTTCTAAGCACTAGGCTCATTATTCCTCTTTGCTAATGACTTAAAGGACCCGTTGCGTTGACTCAGCCCAATCACTCTGAGGTAGGCAACAGTAAAAGGAGAGTGAGAGGTGCATGTGAAGCTAAATATGTCACTTTGAAGAGTTTGACAGGACCTAAGAGGAACACTTTGCTTACTGATTGAAAGGTTTAGAAGTATATAAATAACTTTTAGTCCGGCCCGAGTAAGTATGAGTTTAGTGATAAGCTGTACAGGTGGATATTGTTTCCTTTTACCTTGCCAACACGTTTAAAAACAACCACTGTGTATAATGACGAGAGTTGGAGCAAAAACTGATTTGGGTTACATACAGAGAGGTGTGTAGGAGGTGTGCAAACAAATACAAAGTGTGGCGCTATTTTGAGTTTTTCACCTATCATCCTGAACCATAACCGCCTACAACACTCCCAAACTATCACCAGCCCACAAACTCACACACTCATACATCCAAAAATCCTCACAGTAGATGAGCAGCATACATTCCAGGATAAATCTCCCTAAAGCAGCTAAGAGTCATTTAGAGTTGTTTATTTGAGGGATATACATGTCAGCCAAACACACATGTGCGCACCAAGAGTTCAGGCTGTCAGCCACAGGGATTACTAAGGGACTCGTCTTGTGCATTTATTTATTTATTCATTTTGCTGGGAGGTCATCATGCCTGAACGGAATCTCATCTCGTCATCACATAGCTCTGCCGGGAACACAACTTGTAAAATACAATACATCTTCTTTACATTGTTCCTATTTTCAAAGTTGATTAAACTGCTGTCTTATCCTGGTCTTGTTTAAATGTCCTGTCATTTTGTATGCATGTTGTTAATGTCAGAGTGTGTGTTGTCCATGTGTTGTCTGCAACAGAGCATTTTATTGAGCTCCCTCTCCTGCTTGTCGGTCTGTCGGAAGAAATGGACTGCAAGCACTTCACCTGCACCCAGGTGTGACAGATTCTTCTCTCTATCTGAGTTTCTCCAAGCAGCTCTCCTCCCACCACGCACTCACACACACACACACACTTCATCACATTGATACCCGGTCCTCTAGTTTCTGTGGCCCAGTGACTGAGGACGGAAAGGAGAGGAAGGAGAGAGGGGTAGGAAGCAAGGAAATCAATATCTGAAGAAAACCAATAAAATAGTTTCCGCAAGCCTGAAGCTGTAGGGCATTTCTTCAGTGAGTTAGACAATAGAAGAGACCAGGGAAATAATGCTAGTGCCTGTTTTAAACAGAGTTTAACACAATTATACACAACTATAATTTAATATCCCTCTGACTATCACTGGATTGAGGCTCTGACTTGAAATAAAACATACAAAAAAACCTATAACTAAGCTATACCTCCAGTTTAAGATATGCAACCAGTGATATTTAAAGGAAATCTATCATGCTATACAGTAAATAGCATTAAAACAAAGTTTCGGATAATTGGCACATTTTTTACTTCTTAGTTTAAACTTCATCATGATCATCAATCATCATTCAACAGCAGGGAGTTGCTAATCAGAAGTGTGTTCTCCATTTGCATCAGCCGTTTTTTTTTTTCAGGTGTAGCTGACGGAATTAATCTGAAAGAAAAAAACTATAGGAAGAGTGTGCAATCGTAATGAAGTGTTTGGTTTAATCCCAAATCCACAAAGATAGAGACGGGAGAGAGAGAGAGAGATAGAGTAAGCCGTAGCCAACACTGTCATAAAGCCAAAAGTGTATCTCCATCTCTAAAACTGTGCGTTAGTGTGCGCCTGTGTTGGTGTGGATGACCTACTTGTGTTTGTGTTTTGTTTCATGTATTGTTCTAGATCCACAGCTCCAAACGGCTGCCATGCATGGTGCCAAACACGACTAAGCACTGAGTGGCAGAGAGGTGCTTACACTGCTGGCGGCTGCACTGTACATGCCTCTGTGTGTGTCTGTGTGGACTGATGGATTGTTGATATAAGATCCTTGAGGGAATTAGCACTTGCATTAATGTAGTCATCGATGTGAGTGAGAAAAAAACAACATGCCCTTTCCATCTTTGATTCTTCTGAAATGTATAACTGTAAGTTCTCTGACTCCTGGCACTTCCTGTTGCTGAAAATACCAGACCAATGATTTCTTGCAAACACAATCTGTTCTTATTCCTGCCCCCAGTACGCCCCCACACCCTCGCCTGTTCCCATTCACATTTAATGGACCCCTTTGGTCCCTTCATCTTGTCACATTTAACTTCATCTATTCCTAGCTAGCTTCCAATCTTTGTGCCCTGCAGATGAATACATCCTCTCTTTCATCTGGCAACTTTTCTTCTCTGTAACGTAATGTTCCTCCTTTCCTCATTTCCTTCAACTGCCCCTCAATGCAACACTATATTCACCCAGTTATCATCCTCACCAGCTGAATGCCCCTTTCTGCTTTTTTATCAATCCCCATCTCTCTCTCTCCACGTCTATTGTTCTTCTGTTTATTATAAACCTTCACTCTGCCACATGCTCTACTTGCTTTTCTCTCCTCCCTTTTTCATAAATAGCCCGTTTTTGCTTAACTTCATTATCTCCCTCATCCATATTTTT